TTGCGGTGGCCGTAGCATCCCTGCCAGTGGGCGTGGGCCTCACGGAGGTGGCCGGCGGGGGTGCTCAGCCCCGTGAACCACACCTGGCCTGCTGCGTCGCGCCCCATGGGCGTGTACTTCCAGCGTGTGGCCTGCTTGATGGCTGGTGCCCAGCGGGGCCCCTCCAGGGACAGGTAGTCATCGCTGGGGACCAGGACGGGGAGAATGTAGCCCTCCCTGCACCTCCTGGCCTCAGTTTTCCCATCTCAAGAATGGGCACAACGGTCCCTTTGCAAAGTCCCACTTGGCCCAGAGCCCCGGGGCTTGAGATATCTCTGGGGCCCCCTGCACATGGCCCTTCCGCTCCGTACCCCTGACCCTCAGGAACCTTTGCCTTTAAGCTCCGCCTGCCTAAGGACAAGATACTGGGAGGGAGGTGATGGCCACTCCTGGATACATTTAAAAGGCCTTGTCTCGCCACATGTGGTAGCCCATGTCTATCATCCCTGCCATCTTGGAGGCTGAGGCAGGAGGATCACAAGTTCACACCAGGTCTGGGCAACTTAGTGACTGATACCCTGTCTCAAAAATAACTGAGGAGCTAGGGATTTAGCTCAGTGGTGCCGCCACTTGCCTCTCAAGCGCAAGGTCCTGAGTTCGATCCCCAGTACCAAAAATAAAAAAAGTCAAAAATGACTGAGGGCGGAGCACAGTGTGAAGGCCCTGGGTCAACCTCAGTACCATCGAAACAAAACTGAAAGTCCCTGTCTGTTCCCCCAGATCTGCAGATCCCTTTCCAGAAACCTGACCTAGAGGTGTAGCAAGAGGATGTGACTCAGCCTGGGGTTGAGCAGGTGGCCCAGGGAGAATACAAATTGTCTCAGATCAAATATGAAATGGTGTGACTCCCTGAAGGGTGCTGGCCAGGTAGCCTCGGGGGCAGAAGGTATCTTAGGCTGAGAACCCGGGAGGGCTCCCCTGTGGCAGCGAAGGCAACACGTGCAAAGGCCCTGGGGCAGTGTGTGCCAAGGGGAAGGGAACAGGAAAGACCAGAGCTGCCGTACTGAGGGGGAAGCAGAAAGATGCTACTGATGTAAAAAACTTCAGTGGGGTTATTCTAACAACAGCTAGCCCATAGTCCCATCTGCTCAGGAGGCTAAGGCAGGACGATCAAATGTTTGAGGCCAGGGGCCAGGGATTCTGGCGCCTGCCTCACAAACACAAGGACCAGGGTTCCCTCTCCGGTGCCAAAAAAAAAAAGCCAACAGTCCAGAGTAATGGAGCATGGAAGGACTTTGTCTGAACCCTGTACTGGCTGCTGCTGGCCTTAGCTCGTCCCTTCCAGAAGCAGGCAGGGAGCACACGGTCTGCTGTACCACAGGGGCTATGTCGGTCACACCTCCCTCACTTTCCCCCTTTTCTTGGAGACAGAAGCCTCTGTGGTGCTATTTCTTGGGGTCCTGGGGATGGAGCCCAGGGCTTTGTGGTGAGTTACATCTGCAGGCCTTTGGATTTTCTTTTTCTCTTTGGTACCGGGGATCAAACTTAGGATGTGCTTGGAAGGAAGGAGTAGGGCCCCTGAGCTAAGTCCCCAGACCCTGAACTTTGTTTTGATACAGGGTCTGGCTAAGATGCCCAGGCTGGGCCCAGCAGGAGTTTCATTTACTGAGTGTTACACGAGGTTCCTGACCACTGAAGGCCGAGCCTGTATCTTTGTCCACCGACCACAGCCCCGAGGGCACCGAGCTGTGCTGCAGGGGCACAGGATCTGGGGGAGCCCTGAGCAGTGGGGAGGAATCGGAACATGACAGAGATGGCCCCATCCTGAGGCTCGGGGAGGGTCAGGGTCCCTGGAGGTGAGGGACGGGGGTCACCTGCACAGCGGGCTGGGGAAGTCCACTTCCAGGGTGCCTGAGGGGACGTGGGTGCGGGCAGCCTCCCTCCGCCAGGCCTGCATGGCTGCCTGTGTGTACCTCGAAGCTCTGCTGGAGGCCTCTGGGGCCACTGTTGACATCGACAAAGGCCACCACCCTGGTGTCCTGGCAACAGCAGTGGCCTTGAGATGTGGGGGGTGGCAGTGTGTGGGCGGCAGGTGCAGTGTGAGCTCTGTGCCCATCACCTGGGTCAGTCCTCACGGCTGTCCCCAGACCTGCAGGGGGCTTCTGAATGTCCTTGGCCCCCAGGAAGCCACGGCACCCTCCATGGGCCTAGGAACCTGTGCCCCCCGTGCTGTTCCTCCTCACTCTGTCCCATCCTTCATCTCCATTTCCAAAACGTGTCCAGAAGGGCAAGGTGGGTCTGTGAGCACTCGGGGGGGGCACAGCTGGGTCCCCGATTGGAATATTACTCAACCAGGAAGAGAGTGAGGCTGTGACACTCCCCGCTGTGAAGGGACCTTGGGGACGCCGTGCTCAGTGAGAGACGCCGGACACAGAGGACACATGGCGTGGGCTCCACAGACAGGAGATGCCCAGGACAGGCGACTCAGACACAGGAAGCGGACTGGGGCTGGGTCAGGGCTTCCCTGGGGACGACGGGACATCCTGCAGCTCACAAAGCTGTGAAGTGACAACTGCATTGGCTGGTTCCCTTCATGGCAGTGTGTTGTATTTATTTCACCACAATAAAAATGTAAACAAAACCAAATCCAATGAACATCCAGAGTCAACCTGCCCTTTGCCACCTCCTTCCAGATCCAGGCCTGAGTCACGTCCCTGCCACTACGACTTGTGCCCGGTCTCTGCCTCAACAGCCCCGTCCAGTCTGCACACAGCTACTGCCAACCTCACCCACCTCAGCACACCAAGCTCTTTGCCTCCTGTCCCCTCCGCCCCTCCTTCCTCTGTTCCAGCCACACAGCCTCCTTCCCACTGCCATACTGCTGGGCTGTCCTGCCCCAGGGCCTGCACAGCGACCTGCTGTACCCTTGTGTGTGAAGTCCTGGATTAAGCCATCCTCGTAGTCCTCCTCCACCACCTGGAGCCCCCATGCACAGCCAGAACCCTCCCAGCCCATGGCCCTACTGCTCCTACAGGTCCCCAGAGCTCCTGCTCCCAGGCCCCTCAGACCCTCCTACTGCACTGTCCCTCCCACCCTCCCCAGGGCCGTGTCTGCCCGAGGCCCCTGCCTGTCCTTCCCAGAAGTGGATGAGCCATCCTGGACCCTGTCATCCACCCTGTTCTCTCCCTAACCGCGATCACTTTCCCACACCCTTCCCTGCCAGCCTCGCCACCCCCAGCAGCGGGCAGGGCCGCCTGTCCCCACAGGGACCCTCGCGTACCCCTCTCATCAGCCTGTGCGTCCCTGACAAGCCCTGCAGCAGGAGCAGCAGGCTGAGCTCGAGCACCGGCAGTGAGCACAGCTGCCAGGGCGCCCTGTCAGCCTGGGTCGGGACCAGACCTAGACAGGCAGCTGCCCTCCTGCGCCAACTCTGAGAAAGGCTGCTGTGCTTGGGCCGACTCCTCTCTGTCCACACCTCACTGCCACATGGGCTCCGCTCGGGCCACAGGGTGACAGCAGGGGCAGCTCTGGGCTCTCTGGCATCTGCACAGGGCCAGGGTGGGCACAGGGGCTCCTTCCCTTATTTAAAAAACAAAGACTCAAAACCAAGATGGTGGCCAGCGGAACACGCACTTCAATGTTTACGCAGTGGCAGGTGGCAGGGACACGGAGAGGGGACCGACTGTCCACAGGGCAGTGCGTCACCCCTACGACTGTCTCGGGGACAGGGCACTGTCTGGCCTGGGCTCTGACATTTCTGAGACAGGGCAACAAAACAGACAGAGTCTGAGAGTCACAAATACGTATTATACACATGCACCCGCGCGACCGCACTCGGCCCCCGCAG